CCCAACAAGGCCTTCACCACAATACTCTCTGTGTCCATTGTGGCCTTCTATATTCTTAGAAATATGCTGAAGGTTTTCAAAACCTATGTACATCTCAGTTCCGAGGGACCATCTGTTGCCTTATGTATTGGATGACATGCTGGGTTCAGTCAATGATGGCCACATCTGGCCTATTTTTGTATGGCCTTTGAGCTAAGAATGCTTTGTGTATTTCCTAAGAGTTGGGGGAAAGACAAAGGAGAAAATGCATCAGAGACCCTGCATGGCTTGCAGAGCCTGAATATTTACTATCTGGCACTTTACAGAAAGTCTGCCTACCTCTGGGTAACAGAATCATGGGCTCAAATAGCCAATGGTACCCTAGGACAGTCAACACCAACAAGATCATAGAACCAAAGGGGACAAGAACACTTGAGATGATATTACTTTAATGCTCCAGGCATTTTAAACATTCATAAAACCACCTTATTTCAGAAGTCATTTCCTCTTAGGTACAGAGTCTGTGTCCAGATCAGAGACTAAATTTTCTTCACAGCCCCCACATGCTATGGGGACCCCTCTGGGGCCTCGTCTTCTCCGGTAGGGTCCCCACCACACACAGCAGGGCTAGACCTACCCCACTTGACATAACCTCAACTGCTAGACACACTTTAGCTTCACTGCCCTGCGGGTGCTGCGGGTCCCATACCTTTCCAGCACTACCACATACTCCAAGTCCGATAAATATCCAGCGCGCTAGGGAAACACCGTGCCAGCTGGTGAGTATGCCGGCACCTGCGCCACCAGACCATACAGACACTGAGGCACTTGAGTGCTCTGGGTAAAACTGAGTTTCTAAATACCACAGGAGTTAAGTGTCAGGAAAGGGGCTTTTCTCTCAATAATTAATCAATAACCTTGATGAATATTTAGCAGATTTATAAATTCCTGTCTGTTTACATTCATTGCCAAGTCTTCACAACTGTGTAAGTAGATGAAGGCGTGTTTGACAAAAAGCAGAGAGGGAACTGCTTAGACGGTACTTGCTTGTAGCATGAACACAAGGCCATTCAGAAAGCAATACCTGTCCTTCCGAAAAGAAAATTTTAAAGCCCTAGGCCTTATTTGATTCTCCCAAGGTAATAATAATATGTTTGTCCTTCCTTCTCAAGCAGCGGTTCCAGGCATCGCAAAGCACACGCTGCCTGAGGTTCTGATTCAGTCGTCGGGGGGGGGA